GAACTAATATTTGTTGCCTTTTCATCTAGACAACATTTTGAAATATTCAGAAAGTTTCCAGATGTCAAAAACTACAAAGTACTTTTCCAGTTTTCTTTGTCAATGAGCAAAATCAAAGCAAAAAACTCCTGGAAAGAAACTCGAAAAGTACTTTGTAGTTTTTGAGACCTGGTCTCAAAAACTGCAAAGTACTTTTCCAGTTTTCTTTGTCAACCGCAAAAAATTGCAATCGCATCAATATCGATCAATATCAACACCAACATCAATTCAATACAATACAAACATAAATCAATTACAAGGATTGATACTAGGAGAGAAGATGCTGCAGCCGCCATTTCATTCATTTCATTTCTGAAGAGGAAGGAGACAGCGGATCTGCATTACCATATCGTAACATTGAAACATTTGATGTCGTCATCAAGACTATCAGTTTGAACAAATATGAATACAAATACGAAAACAAATCACAGATAAAACATAATGGATAAGTGGAGCACAACAGCAGTATTCCGAAGTGTTATTGATCAGCAACATAGACAAACGAGATGATATATTGTGTTGTGGTGGCATTCATAGTGTGTAAGATGATGATGGTGATGAAAATGATGGTTTCGGAAGCGTTGTGTATGGACATCGTCTGTAAAAACATTTTTTCAGCGAGCCAGCATACAGTACTTGGGCTACACATTTTACATAGAGAATGTTTTGCACGTATATTTAGTACCATAGGCAACAGAGCATGCATGACTTGCTGAGTCACATGAAACGTGGACCACTCTGTCTGTACAAGAGCTTGCGCGTGTACCCTGTGATCTGTATTTTGAATTTTGCACGCTTGCCAATTATACAATGACTTACACGACTGTTTTGTTTCACTGTTCTATTACTGCTACAGTACCTGGTACTGGTACTCGTCAGCATTCTTATTGAAGTCCTTAGAGCATCAAGCAGCACTACCGGTCTGATAGAAGAACGCTACTGATAGGTACTTTGCACTGAAATAATGCGCCAATTTTGCTTCAGCCCAAAACCTGACAGATTCTGTCTGTCTCACGTCTTTTTCTTTTAGGTAAGAGACGTTAAACGGACAAAGACGTGTACTAACCAATAGAACACATTCGATTAGGCCCAAGCAGCTCCTATCGGAGGTACATGGACATCCGAGTCCCTCCGATGGAAGCGCGTTGGGACCTTTTGTTACATTCGCAGAACTGCAAAAAATCTTCGATCACATCCAACTTGCTTTACAATGGTGCGTGCGCCTTGATGACAATGAACTCATCGCAAACTCAAGACAACTCTCATGAACCGCGGACATTCTCTTCACTGTTTCCGTATCTATCTTCTTAATATGAAGCACTATGGATGCATTTGCCTCTTTTTCCTCACAAACGACCTTTGACAAAACAACAACACTGTCTGAAAAGTAGTTCTAGAGAGGTTCCGGGACGTGAGATTTTCCACGGAAGTTGCTTCTATTATTATACTAAAGGTCCTTGTACAAGCAAAAAAATGAATCGACTATCAGCCGTAACTGAGAGCAACACAGACGAATCCAAGATACAAACAGAAGAGGACAGATAGTCCTTCAGCGGCCACTCGACAATCAGTCAGCAAGGATATAGAGCATATTGTGAAAGCAAATCACATACTAAGGCCTCGTGGGAACATGCGAGTAAGTTTATCAAGGAGCTAATGTGTGAATCGACAAGCCGAACTAACTAGATCCCCTTAAGACGAATTCGAGACGAGTTTTGGAAATGACGGTCCCAAACCCATTCAACAATCATACGGTCGGAAAAAGGGACCAAATTTAAAGATGAAGTGTACAGCAGGGACCGGTAGGTATATTCAAGTAAGTTTACCAAGGAGTAAACGTGTGAATCGGCAATCCGAACTATCTAGGACCGCTCAAGACGATTTCAAGACGAGTTTTGAAGATGAAGGTCCATAATTCCATTCATCAACAAAGCTATGCCGCTCCAAACACTTGAATATAGTTTTAGCGAAGAGATAAGTTAAACATTAGGTGATACTTTAGTTGTAACAGCGCTTGGTGCTTTCCTTTCAGATTCTCCTCGTTCTTGGCACTGGCTAATTGTCAAATCGTGCTCTAAACAGTTCTTGTCTCGAATTTGTTTCGAGCAGACATAGGTAGTTCGACTTGTTGATTCACATGTTAGCTCCTTGGTCTACTTACTTATACATACCAACATATCGCTGTCATGTGATTTTTCTTAGGAATTTTCTTGATCTTCCATCCCTATGATTGTCAAATGGGCTTCGGACAGTCATCTTCAGTTCTTCTCTCGAAATCGTCTTGAGCCGTCCTAGTTAGTTCGGCATGTAGATTCAACCATTAGCTCCTTGATCAACTTACTTGTATATCCTCATCGATCCTTGCTGCATAACTTTTATCAGTGATCTCCCCGCAGCGGGTGGCAAGCATTGAGTTCGACATTAATGCCATCAAGATGGAGTACAAACGAGATTTGACCGCATTCGTTGATGAGGTGAAAAATCTCTTCGACTGGTTAGAAACAGGGTCAAAAGTGTACATGGCACCGTGCTTCCCACTGTTACAATCCAGTGGAGCTGGCAAGACCAAACTGCTCCACGAGTCGCGATGCTCCATGGCAAAGGATGACCCCGATGTCCACGTGATACTCATTCTATGCACGAACGGAAAGTCTCCTCCAGAAATGTCGTCACAAAACGGCAGCATTTTTTCCGAGACTTTGGACGTGAGCCAATTTCAAGTGGGCGAAGAAGGTCAAAAGAAGCTTTGGGAGAAAATGGTGGCTTTGGTCAAGACCGCGAAGAAGAAGAAGAAGGTTGTATTGCTCTTTGACGAGTCCCAGCACCTAACCAGCAACTGTGATGGGTGGCATTTCCGATGCATACGGTGGTGGCTCCGATTGCCCGATAAACCAAACGGCGTCAATGTGGTTTGCGTTTTTGCGGGTACCACTACCAGATTGGCAAACTATTATGCGGAACAAAAACAGTCAACTTCCTCAAGGGATGCAAGCGTTGAGTACCTTGGAGGCAAAAAGCTGTACCCTCCGTTCTGTCAACTTACGACGACAGGTCTTGTGTCACGCTCTGATGGATCCAAATTTGGAACCGTAGGTCTGCGTACCATCGACAACAAGGTCTTTTAGGAGTCACCCAAACCGTCTGGCCTTTCCCAGTCAATCTCAATTTTCCCGCCGAGATTCAAAACCTCACGCCGGCATACCCGCTTGCCGGCCTTCTATCCGTTAGATTTGAATTCATCAATCATTCATTCACTCACTGTTTCATCAAAATTGCAATGAAAATGAAGGTAAGTTTTGGATGGGCAAACTTGGATGAAATTGACACTCGCCTTTGGTTCCACAGTCTTGACAGCAGTCTTGACAGCAGTCTTGACAGCAGTTTGATATTTGCCTTTTTGCATTAATGCAATCCAGTCCTCTAGTGGAACTCAATGTAGTTTCCAAGTGTTTTTTCATCAGCAGGTGGACGGCTAAGTTTAGATTTTTTTAGACTGCTTTGGTCGTTGGTGTCGCTTGCTCCTGCCGCTGGTCGCTTATTGGAACGATCTGCGATGGTTTTGTTATCACTCGTCATGGCGGAAAAGGAATAAGGGCGACAGGTGCTCTGGGTGCCAATTCTAAGGCACTAAGAAGGGACTGTGATATTCTGCAATGGCAAATGGGATGGCGATGACGAATGACAGTGCAGTGCAAGTGATGATAATGATGGGTGCAAAAGTTCAAAGATTTGAGATTTTTCCTGCAGGCTACTCGTGGCCTCTCATTGCCCCTCCGATGCTGTGGTACACGTACGCGTACAAGTGTACGTGTTCCTCCGCCAGCCAGCCTAGGACATTATTCTTGAACGACAACAACGATCCCACCGAAACGAGCTCTATTTTATTGTTTTTAGTCGGGATAGCAAATAAAGGCTACCGTGCTATTGCACACGCATGCAATGGTTCGTGTCCGTAAGTGAACGGGATCGGCCTTCGCGGAAGCCTGTCGATGGAACGACGATAACACACTCTTTTTAAGAATACGATTCGATCTACGTTACTATCTTTACTATCTTTAACATCTACTACTTTGTAAGTCAACACCCTCGTAATAACATGACGATTACATTTATATGGTTTATCAGATCCAGCAATAGCTGCCAAAAGTTATCCGACGAACGAAACGAAAATGAATACGTTTGAAATGTATTGAAATGTATTGTATTGAAATGTATTGAAATGTATGGAAATGCAATGCCATCAAACATTATGAACGTAATAATGAGCATGATTGTAAATACGAAATGACATCAAATGTTATGAACATTATGATGAACGGTGCTGAGCAAAACCAACAAAAACTGTCACAAATGATGGTGCTGAGCAACACCAAAGAAAACTGCCACAAATGGTGCTGAGCAACACGAACAAAAACTGCCACGAATCGTGCTGAACAACATCAACGAAAACTGTTACAAATTGTGCTGAACAACACCAACAAAAACTGTTACAAATAAAAGGAATGTGAACTAACAATTTGATGTTTGACATTGATGCAGGCAACATGGCCGCTGTTCCTCCTTTCTTCACCGTACATGACGACATGGTCATCTGTGGCATTGACAATGTCACCCTCTTCCAAGGACGCACACAAGCCGAGAGAATTGTGTACAAAATATTCTCGGACGATTTCACCACAATAATGGACAGCACCATTGACGAACTAAACCAACAGTTCAAGACCCTCGCAGGATTGACGATTGCGCAAGGACAGATATGCTTAATGCCAGCTATCAAAAAGAACATCCGCGCATTCATCCAATGGTGCAGATGCAGCTAAACTACTTAGACGCATGAAAACACACGAAAAATATGTGTATTGCACTTCCGCAAGATTTCACCAACGATGTCCATTTGGAAGATTGGTGCCCAACGTTCAAAAATTACCTTCGCACCATACCAGGAAGAGACGGTGTGCCACTGAGCTACATTGTGAGAATGAACGATGCAGGAATGCTCAACCTGCACAAAGATTTCTTGGCAACCTACGTCAACATGGCACCACACGTTGGCGAAGCATACGTCATGGATAACGCCAAAGTCCTAGTCCTTCTCAGCAAGTTTATTGTGGGGAATACCGAAGCTGAAGCAATTCTCCGAGCCATCAACATTGCAGGCAATGGGAGAGAAGCATTCAACGCACTACATACCCACTACAAGGGTGAAGGAATCCTAGCCAGCGACTTGTCGAAGCCAAACACACCATCAAAGAACTGTGTTACGTTGGCGAAAAACCAAAAATGAACTGGTCCATGTTTGAACAAATGTTAAAGAAAGCATATGCAACATGTGACAAACATGAGGGGAGAGAAGTCCATTCAGACGCCATGAAACTGCGTAGCCTACAAAACAAGGTTACAGCACCATTCCTACAACTGAACAAGACAGCAATCAATACGGAAAATGGCAAAAGACTGATATTGATGACTTTCACGACAGCATTACAAATCTACCAAACTGCAGTGAGAGAAAAGTTTCCCCAGGGAACCAGCAATGCAACCGATAGGGGATGCTACTTGGGCGAAACTAGGGCTGACAACAATTGCAACAGAAGCAGAAGCCAAAACAATGGAGTAGGCAACAAACGTTGCGATGAAGAAGAAATTACTCTGAGTAATGGAGAGAAGATCTGGTACCATCCTGCTACCGTTTCTCTCGAACACACCTACAAGCGTTTACCAACAAGCAACGCGAGCGTATGGCAAAGGAAAGAGCTGCATACAGAGAAAGTCAAGGATTACCAGCAAGAAGGGCAACAGGACAAGCCGCACAAACACAACAAGTGGAAACGCAGCTGGCGGAATTGCAAGCCAAAGTAGCATCGATTAGATCCAACAACGTACCTGCTGCAATTCCAGCCAAAGCAGCCATGCAGATATGACAAGTGACTATGGGAACGACTGGAACTACAGCAATGGGCAGACGCAACCAACAGGCAAACAACCAACAGGCAAGCGGCAGAACCTGAAACGCGATAAGTGAGATCAGACAAATTGTAAGGGTGATCTCATTCAACACAGCTGCATCCCAGTGACCAGTGCAACAACCAACACCAGGAACAACGGCAAGCAATGAAATGGATACTAACGCCGACACTTGTTGCCTTGGCAAGAACTTTGTCATCATGAGCTACACACCGAGATCGGCCAATGTGTACGCGTACGACCCAGCTCTACCACCAACCAATGTACCAATTGTATCTGGGGCGACCGCTTATGACGGCCCACAGAGCGGCAACACGTTCATATTGATATTCAACAAAGCACTTTACTATGGGAACCGGTTAGATCATT